TTTCTCGCACGGCAGGGTCATCACCACGGTGGCGTGCCAGGGGCGCACCATGCGCGAAGGCGACGGGGCGGAGAAACGGCGCTCCGGGGGCGGCCAGACCTCCGGGCGCGAGCAGTCCGCGGCCAGGCCATCTCTCGGTCCTGTGGACTCTCGCCCTGGGCCGTCGGCTGCCCGGCGCGCTGCTCCCTCGGTCGACGTCGCCCAGGCGTGATCCTGGATTGCGGCCGCCACGAGGTAGGGAACGGCAAGAAGGGGGGCGACGACTGGCGGCTGGAGCTCTACGTGCTGCTCTCGCGCGCCACGCGCCACGAGGACCTCCTGCTCATGCGGGCGCCGCGCATCGAGTTCTTCCTGGCAGGGCCGCCGCAGGGCTTGCGGAAGCAGCTGGAGCAGTTTGCTGCGCGCACGGAAAGCGGTGCATGGAGGGAAGTCGCACGTCATCCCAGAGCTCGGCTTCATCGAGTTCACCGCCGAGGCCTGACCTAAGGTAGCTCTCCCCCCAGCCGCGCCTTCGCTCGACTGCCCGACTAATGTTTGGCTCCGCGCCGCGGACGAACCCCGATCGCGCTGGACCCTCTCGGGGCGACCGCGCGCGTCGCGGAACTCCGTCTGCGGGGGCCCTGCGCCTCGTTCGCCCTCCTCCGCTCTGCCAGCGTCAGAGACCGGTCCCGCTATCAGCCAGCCAGTTTAGCTAGTCACCTCACATCTGCTTCGCGCAGCGACGACACGCCCGGTCGCTGGGACCCCCCAGCCCGGGCGACCTGCGCCCGCGTCGCGGGGACTCCGCGCTGCGCTGCGCCCGCAGCCTTGATTTTGGAGTGCGCGGGCAAAGAGGAAGGAAAAGAAGAGCCGAAAGCGGGCGCGATCCTCGCAAGAGGCGTGCCGACATGGGCGTCGCGACGTGCGGACGCTGCCGTCGGGGTTCCCGCGGAAGCTGCCTGCGGCGGCCACGCCGAGTGTCACGTGCGTTCGGACAGGCATGCTCGACACTTACACTAGGCGGTTCCATGATCGCATTCATGCAAATATATTCACTCGCGCGCAGACCCATTCATACTCAGATTCCCTCGCGCTCTGACTCACCCGCGTTCTTTCTCTCGCAATCAGATCAATCGTAATCCTTTGCGTTGTGTACCCCGCCACATTTCGGCACACCCCTCATGCGGTTCGTGGCCCCATAGGGAGCGCCACCGAAGAAGATACTCCCAATTGCGATACTCACAACTGCATATGGTTGGGTCCTTCGCCAGGATATTGATGGAGGATCGTGAGAGTTTAGGGATTAGCTTCGCATGGCGATATGCGCCGCATTTTGCGTTTGATGGATGATCGTGAGACGTCTAGGATTTAGCCTCCCAGGAGGGAGTTCCGAGGGGGGCTTCTGCTTAGAATTTAAATTAATAGTGATAAAGAGTGTTCAGGGCCCACCAGCGCCGCGAATGACCAGTGCACGCGGCCCCGAAGCACGAGGACAGCTCGGCATTCGCTGCGAGTCTGGTAGTGCCACCTGCCGAACTCGCCCCTGGCTGCTTTCGCTCCTCCTACGTTTGGCCGCTGCTCTCCCTGCCACTCTTCCCCAGTCCTCGGGCAAACTCCCAGCCGGGAGCTCCAGGTCCTCACCAGGACGCGGTGCCCGTCACAGAACTAAGGGGCCCCTCGCCAGCGCGCGCATGTCAGTCGCCAGAACAGGGGCCCCCTTTCCTGTCGCCGGCACGGCAGGGCCCGCAGAACGCGAGCGGGCACTTTTCAGAGCGGTAACCTGGGGGGGGGCGCGGGGGGGATGTAGGAGAGCGATCTGTTCTAGAGCGGCGCCTTGGAATCTTGCTTCCTGGGCCCGTTCCTTTGAATGGTCCCCCTGGGCCCCGGCGTGTCCTGGATGGGTCCGGGGGATGGTGGGGTGATTTTGGGGGGTCTTCGGGCATTCTGGAGGGGGCCCTCGGAAGTTTGTTCGGCGTCTGGGGGATTCCTGACGAAGTACCTGCGGGTTCTTGTTTGGTTCTGGGGGGCGCAGAGGGGTTCTCAATGGTCGCGCGGGGTTCTGCGGGACCCCGCTCGGTCCACGAGGGTCGCGGGAGGTCACGGGGTGCGCCGGGGGGCCCTGGGGGGCTGCGGGGGTTTGTGGTGCCTTGCTGTGTCCTGCGGGGTTTTGGTGGTCATGCGTCTGCGGGGTCCTGGGGCCTATGGGGGGTGTGCCTGCGTTGTTCGGGCTGCTCCAGCGGCGGGTCGGCCTGGTTGCGCCGGCTTGCTTCGTCGGCAGTCTGGGCCGGAGCCTGCGTCGCAGTTATCTTTCTGTCGCTGGTTTCAAGCAATATTGAATTGAAGAAAGCAGGCCGAACGCAATTGTCATGCAAATTATTCGAGCGACAGCTGCCATCACATGGAAGAGCGGCGCGCGCATTGGAGGGGGGCGAAGCGCGCGTTCACTCCCAGAACGCGCGCGTCGGCTACAGAAAGGTTTGTTCAGAAGGTTGGACGCCCGAGGAACGAATGGGCGAGTCGGGTCGCCAAACACGCAGCTGCAATAGGAGAGAGCATGCAATGCGAGTCCGGCTCGAGGGCCAGCGCGAGCCATCATTGCATGTCTCAGTTGCGTCTACGCGCCTGTCGGCGCACGACGACTTGCGAGTGAGTGAATGGTCCTCGGTGGGGCCCCGCGGCGAGCTGGCGGCGGGCCGGATCGCGTCGGTGAAAGGCACGGCGTTTCTTGTTGGATGAGTCGGGGCAGGTCGCCGGTGATCTGGCAGCGGTTCTCGGCGCTTCGCCCTCTATCTTCTCCTGGGGCCCCAGTCTCAACTCGCAGGGCGAAAAGTGGCAGTTCTGGTGCGAGGTGGACTGGATGCAGCTGGTGAAGACGCAGGAGAAACACAAAAAGGACGTGCTCTCGGCGGAATTGGTGGACAAAATGAAGGACACGTTTGGGCCAGACTACGAGACATGACCAAATATTGGGTGCGAGAGCAAGTTCTTCCCTTTCAAGAGCGGACCATTTGATGATGGTGGAGCTCAAAGTGGGAGACGGATGGCAAGCGCTCATTGCGGAAGGGCTGCCGCAGCAATTCGACGACGCCATCGACGAGTGCCAGTGCGAGTTCTTCGACGCGGCCAAGAAGATGAGCCCAGAGGAGCCATTCGATGCGCTCCCAATGTCTTCCCCGATGACGCACAAGATCGAAGGCTGCGACCTCGTCGCGAGGTGCCCAGTGGACAAATGGCAGAGACAGGGGAAGAAAGCCTTTACAGTGCAGAGCTGGCGCGAGCTAGCGCTCAAGATCGCGAGGAACGACGAGGGCGACCTCCGCGAAGTAATGCAAGTCGCCTTGAGCGAGATGAAGAACGAGGACAACATGGACCCAGAGGAAGTGAGGAGGCTGAAGGAGCGCCAGAAGCACAAGGACAGCACCAAGACCATGCTTGATGGCACCTAGCTCTTCGCGGAGAAGTTTGGCTACCCCGCGTCAGGGGGGACAGCGGCGGCCATCTCAAGCGGCCGCCAGTGAGCGTTCCCACTGGAGCTTGCAGATTGCCAAGAGAAAGCATTCGCGATGATTCTCGGAGTGCTGATCTTCGCAAGTTGCGAGCTGGCCGTGCCGACAGGCAGCCGAGGGAAGCATTGGCGAGGTTTCTCGGAGCGCTACTCATGGCAAACTACTTGGGCACAACAATACGCCTGCAAGGCCATCGCAGCGGGAAGTATTTTTGGGGGCACCTCCGGGTGCACATCTGCAGGGTGGGCGGAACAATTATCCTGGCGAAGGACCCAACCATATGCAGTTGTGAGTATCGCAATTGGGAGTATCTTCTTCGGTGGCGCTCCCTATGGGGCCACGAACCGCATGAGGGGTGTGCCGAAATGTGGCGGGGTACACAACGCAAAGGATTACGATTGATCTGATTACGAGAGAAAGAACGCGGGTGAGTCAGAGCGCGAGGGAATCTGAGTATGAATGGGTCTGCGCGCGAGTGAATATATTTGCCTGAATGCGATCATGGAACCGCCTAGTGTAAGTGTCGAGCATGCCTGTCCGAACACACGTGACACTCGGCGTGGCCGCCGCAGGCAGCTTCCGCGGGAACCCCGACGGCAGCGTCCGCACGTCGCGACGCCCATGTCGGCACGCCTCTTGCGAGGATCGCGCCCGCTTTCGGCTCGTCTTTTCCTTCCTCTTTGCCCGCGCACTCCAAAATCCAAGGCTGCGGGCGCAGCGCAGCGCGGAAGTCCCCGCGACGCGCGCTGGTCGCCCCGGGCGGGGTCCCAGCGACGCGCGCGGGTCGTCCGCTGCGCGAAGCAGAGAGAGCTGACTAGCTAACTGGCTGGCTGATAGCGGGCAAGTCTCTGACCGTTGGGCAGAGCGACGACGGGCGAACGAGGCGCCGGGCCCCCCGCAGCACGGAGTTCCCGCGACGCGCGCTGGTCGCCCCGAGAGGGTCCCAGCGACGCGCGCGGGTTGTCCGCGGCGCGAGGCCAAACAATGAGTCGGGCAGTCGAGAGAAGGCGCGGCTCGGGGGAGACGCTCCTCAGGTCAGGCCTCGCGGATGAACTCGGTGTAGCCGAGCTCCCTGGCGAGGGCCGTCGCTTCCCTCCTGCGCCGCTTCGTGCGCGCCGCAAACTGCTCCAGCTGCTTCCGCAAGCCCTGCGGCGGCCCTGCCAGGAAGAACTCGACGCGCGGCGCCCGCATGAGCAGGAGGTCCTCGTGGCGCGTGGCGCGCGAGAGCAGCGCGTAGAGCTCCAGCCGCCAGTCGTCTTCCTCCTTCTTGCCGTTCCCTACCTCGTGGCGGCCGCAATCCAGGATCACGCCTGGGCGACGTCGACCGAAGGAGCAGCGCGCCGGGCAGCCGACGGCCCAGGGCGAGAGTCCACAGGACCGAGAGATGGTCTGGCCGCGGACTGCTCGCGCCCTGGAGGTCTGGCCGCCCCCGGAGCGCCGTTCCCCCGCCCCGTCGCCTTCGCGCAAGGTGCGCCCCTGGCACGCCACCGTGGTGATGACCCTGCCGTGCGAGAAATGCGGGGGGTGTGCCGGAATGGGTGGTGGTGACGCATGCGGGCGGCGGCACTGAGGCCTCCGGTGGAGCTCCCTATGGAGCCACGAAACGTGTGAGGGGTGTGCCGAAATGGGTGTGGGGGACGCATGCGGCCGCGGGCACTGGGGCCTTCGGTGGAGCTCCCTATGGAGCCACGAAACGTGTGAGGGGTGTGCCGAAATGGGCGTGGGGGGCGCGTGCGGCCGCGGGCACTGGGGCCTCGGTGGAGCTCCTTATGGAGCCACGAAACGTGTGAGGGGTGTGCCGAAATGGGTGTGGGGGACGCATGCGGCCGCGGGCACTGGGGCCTTCGTTGGAGCTCCCTATTGAGCCACGAAACGTGTGAGGGGTGTGCCGAAATGGGTGTGGGGGACGCATGCGGCCGCGGGCACTGGGGCCTTCGGTGGAGCTCCCTATGGAGCCACGAAACGTGTGAGGGGTGTGCCGAAAACGACAACCCCCATGGGACCTTCGTGGAGCTCCCCATAGGGTCCACGAAAACGTTGTCCTGGTTGGGGGAAACGCATGCAAAACACCCCCGTACTGGGACCGGCGGTGGGGCCCTCCCTATGGGGCCACGAAACGCTGTCGCTGGTGTGGGGAGACGCCTTGCGGAGCACCCCCACTTGACCTTCGGTGAGCTCCCTATGGGGCCACGAAACGCTGTCCCGGTGGGGAGACGCATGCGAACACCCCCACTTGGTCCTTCGGTGGAGCTCCCTATGGGGCCACGAAACGCTGTCCTGGGTGGGGGAGACGCATGCGAACACCCCTACTGGGACCTTCGGTGGAGCTCCCTATGGGGCCACGAAGCGCTGTCCTGCGTGGGGGAGACGCATGCGAACACCCCTATTGGGACCTTCGGTGGAGCTCCCTACGGGGCCACGAAACAGTGTCCTGGGTGGGGGAGACGCATGCGAACACCCCCACTTGGGCCTTCGGTGGAGCTCCCTATGGGGCCACGAAGCGCTGTCCTGGGTGGGGGAGACGCATGCGAACACCCTCAGTGGGACCTTCGGTGGAGCTCCCTATGGGGCCACGAAACGCTGTCCTGGGCGGGGGAGACGCATGCGAACACCCCTACTGGGACCTTCGGTGGAGCTCCCTATGTATGGGGCCACGAAACGCTGTCCTGCGTGGGGGAGACGCATGCGAACACCCCTGTTGGGACCTTCAGTGGAGCTCCCTATGGGGCCACGAAACGCTGTCCTGGGTGGGGGAGACGCATGCGAACGCCCCCAGTGGGACCTTCGGTGGAGCTCCCTATGGGGCCACGAAACGTGTGAGGGGTGTGACGACATGGGCGGTGGGGACGATTATGAAGACGATGATGAGGATGAGGATGTGGATGAGGATGATGCTGCAGATGATCATTCTGACGGAAGAGAGAAGAGGAGGGGGAGGAGGGAGGAGGGGGAGGAGGAAGGAGGAGAGGAACGCGGGGCACCGTCTCTTCAAAACGAGGACCCAACACCACAGGATGGTTGGGAAAAAGTGATCGTCATGGTGCCCACCTGGGCGTTCTTCGTTGGCCCCTACCTATGACCGTGACTTCCAGCATGCTCTGGCTCGCACACTCCGATGGGGGAAATGGGCTACCTCACATGATAGATCACAGAGACATCACATGGAACATTTCTCGGAACGACCGAGGAGTGAACTGAGTGGGATAGGGGAGCACGGCATTCAAAGCATAGAAGTAGCACGAGCCCCTCCAGCAACAGTTTCGGGTCTCGGGCCTTCCATCTCTCCCTTCTCTCCTCCTTTTGAGGTCGCGTCGTCGTCTCCTCCCCCCCTTGGCTTGAGCGCCCTGCTAAGCCCGCGCGCCCCACTCCCCAAGGGCACGCGGAAGGCCCAGCAGCTGCTCCCCCCGCACTGGCCCGATGGGGTTCGCGACGCAAGTTTGCGAGCTTCTTTGACGGGGCCACCTCGGAACTCGGTCCTTGAACTTCCGGGTCTGCCCCCCGCCAGCCCTAGTGAGAAAACAGGGCTGCAGCACAACTAGGCGCAGTGGATTTTGGTAATAGCGCGTAGATCACCCGAGTATGTGCTCTGACGTTACCCCCTCATGCGGATGTCCTTGTCCTTGTCCTCCTCCTCCCGCTTAGCATCCTCCTTCCTCCCCCGATCCCTTCTCCTTGTGCTTCTCATCCTCCCTCCTCCTCCTCCTCCTCCTCCTCCCCTCTCTCCCTTCCTCCCCCCCTCCTCCTTCTCCTCCTCCTTCTCCTCCTCCTCCTTCTCATCCTCCCTCCTCCTCCCGACGCTCCCGGGAGGCGCGCGCAGCCATCGCCATGCAGGGTGGGACCGATCCACGGAAGTCCCTCCTCCTTTTTCCTCCTCCTCCTCCTTCCCTTCCTCCTTCTCAACCTCCTCAGAGCGACCGCACTCGGTTCGGAACACGACGCACTACGGAGACGAATCAAGAATTTGAAGACGTTTTTTGTTCCTCCTCCTCCTCCTTCTCCTCCTCCTCCGCCTCCTCCCCTCCTCCTCCTCCTCCTCCTCCTCCACCTCCTCCTCCGCCTCCTCCTCCCCTCCTCCTCCTGCCTCCCTCCTCCTCCTCCCCTCCTCCTCCTCCTCCTCCCTCCGCCTCCTCTCCTCCTCCCCTCCTCCGCCTCTTCCTCCTCCTCCCTCCTCCCTTCTCCGGCGTTCTTCCCGCACGCCTTCTCGTGGAGATCGCCCCCTTCCCCCAGGCGGCCGCAGCCAGCCGCGGCACGAGGTGCAGCTGCCGCCCCTGACCCCGAGGGACCCCTGGCTGGCGGGCCGCGCGGAGGCGAGGGCGGATTCTGGCCGCCGCATGGGGCTTGTTGCTCCTGATCTTGCCCCACCCTCCCTTCGTGGTTCATTCCTCCATGTCCTGCCTCCGTCCCCAACCCTCCCTCATCCCTTTTCTTCCTCCTCCTGACCCCTCCCTCCTCGTCCTCCTCCGCACAGGTAGCAGGGCGGGAGCCGCCCTGCGGGCCAGAAACAGCCCAGGGACACCCAAACGGCGTTTTCTTCCTCCTCCTCCTCCTCCGCCTCCTCCTCCTCCTCCTCCTCCTCCCTCACTACCTCCTCCTCCTCCCCCCCTCCTCTTTCCGTCTTCCTCCTCCTCCTCTCCTCCCTCCTCCTCCTCCTCCGCCCCCCTCCTCCTCTCCCCTCCTCCTCCTCCCCCCCTCCTCCTCCGCCTCCTCCTCCT